TTAACAATATATATATATATATATATATATATATATGTATGTGTGTGTATGTATGTATAAAATAGTTAAGTAATGACATATATCTTATAGCAATATGATACTTGTTATTACAAATTATTTTTACATGTATTATAGATATAATATATGTTGACATATTGTTAAAAAATAAAAATATAAATTATAATAATACTTTTTATATGTGACTATGTATAACATTTTTTATAATAATAATTTTTTATCCCTATAACACTATTCCAAATGTAAGAGTTATCATTCCTTTTAAAAAAAATATTTATTTGATACAAATTATACAAAAAAATAAAACTAAAATTATTTGATACAAATTATACAAAAAAAAAAAACTAAAATAAGGATGTATGTGTGTTGTATGGATTTTAGGTAGTATCTTCAACTATTATTAAATGAAGAATAGTATTTTATATAAAGATTTCTAACGTGACATTAACTTTTTATTTGATAACTTTGTTGGTTTCATCTACTATCTATCATTTTTAATGATAAAAAAATATTTGTTATAAGACTATTATATCTTTTATAAAAAAATAATGTTGAAATGTATTAAAAGATATTTATAAAGTAATAATTATATTTTGAATAACTTCTTTAATGAATTGAACCTTTAAATACTTAATACATGCTTAATTAGTTTGCTTGATTTAAATAAAGGATAAATTAGGTTAAGTATTTTCATTTCCTCTTGAATGATTATTATTGTGGTTTAGCTTAAATATTTAAGTGTATCAATAATTTTTTATTACATCAAAATGTACTAATTTTATCATTACATTTAAACAATTTGAATTTTTTTAAGGGGGTAAAATATTATTTTACTTATTATTGTCCCAAATAGTTCTTAGCCATCTTACCGAAGATATCTTGACTCCCACTAGGAACTTGAATACTTAATAATAGTTTGTAAGGTGTATATCTGAACACTAATTGGTGGATCAAGTAAGAGCTTTTCTTAAATAGAGTACATCTCAGCTTGTCGAGACCCCAATAATTAAGTCTAATAGATAGTAATGTCTAACTGTTATATGATAATAAAAAGTCTTAAATGTTCTTTAATGTTATTTTTTTCCTATTTATAATCTTGTATTTTACCTTCATAAGATATGTTCATTCTTGAGATTACATCCATATATTTTAAATACTTACTAACTTAGACATCAAAGTCTCTTTTATAGGTATAATAACCAATTTAAAAATCAAAGACTTCCAAGGACTTCGGAAGAATGAATACTTTTCCTAACAAATACAATTATAAATGTTATTTTATAATAATGATGTTTGATATTACTAGATTTTATCACCTTTATTTTATACTCATATACTATAAATACTTATTAACTTAAACATCGAAATATCTTTTATAAATTTAACAACTAATTTGAAGATCGAAGAGTTTTAAAAACTTTAAAAAGATAAGTACTTTTTTCAACAAATATAATTATAAAATATAAATGTCATTTCACAATAATAATATTTGATATTAATAATTTTTATCATCTTTATTTTAATTATATTGAAATTAAATTATTATTATTATAAGTCATTATTTTGATTTAAAAAATTTAAAAGTTCAGATAATTTCACATTTATACTCGTTAATCAAGTCAGTTCATCTCTTCAACATGGAGTAGAAATTTGAAGAATCTACAATAATCAAATTGGTGGGAATAAATTTTACTTCGTTATCAAATAAAGAAAAATTATTTTGATTTATGATGAAAGTACGATATTGACAGATTGAATTTTACATCCATTTAGTTTTATAATACTTTTAATAAACTCGGGAGTTAGAGGAGAAACATGCTAACTTTTTATGAACACGGGATGCCGAGTTGTTGAAAAAACAATATTACTGAACAGGGAAGACTGCTATAGTGCTAATTTTAATTAAAAAATAGTGAAAAATATCAAGTGTCAATAAGATGTTTGAATTATCTTTAAAAAAATATGGAACCACAAAGAGGAAAATCTTATAATATGTGGCAAGCGGCAACGAACATTTTGATGGACGCAGGTTGTCTGACTTGAGAAGAACCTGGAAACAGAAACATAGATGATGGAACGAGAAACATCTCCGAACCATACTTTGATGCTGATTTTGTTGCTTGTGAACTTTGTCGTAGGAGTGCTGAGTGCTGATAATTATCAGAGAGATGACTTCCCTGTTGATTTTGCTTTCGGTTCCGGTACCTCTGCTTATCAGGTTCCTCTTTCTAGTTTCTTCAATAATTCTATATACCCCCAACACAAGTAATCATCGTAATATTATGAACAGGTTGAAGGAGCTGCTAACGAAGATGGAAGAACTCCTAGCATCTGGGATAGCTTTGCCAACGCTGGCTCCGGTATTTCTTCTTCTTATCCATCTTACTAATTCTACTTTTCCATAGTTTTCGATGCATGATTAATTCATCGCAACAAATTGCTCCTTAGCTTGTTACTTGTAGTGTGATTGAGACTTGATTTTTTGATAACCAGGGTATGGAGATGTAGCCTGTGATGGGTACCACAAATATAAGGTGAATACACTATGCCTCAATTTGGTAATGCATTCCATGTGTTTCACCATTTTGTGGAAAATTAAAGAAAATTGAGGCTAACGCAGGAAGATGTGCGGCTTATGGTGGAAACAGGACTTGATGCCTATAGATTTTCTATTTCATGGTCCAGACTGTTACCAAGTATGATACTCAACACAAACCCTTGAATTTGTAAGGTAAAAAACTTTCTCAAAACTTGAAAATGCTTTTGTTTCTCCTCAGATGGCAGAGGACCCGTCAATCCCAAAGGATTACAGTACTACAACAACCTCATCAATGAACTCATCAGCAATGGTTAAACACCTCAAAACTAGTTTCTTTGTTTGCAAAATTAACCATGTCATAGCCTTATATTCACTTCAAATAAGTAAATGAATTAATAATTTTAAAACCTTTAGTTCCCTTTTTCCCTGGAGCAGGAATCCTACCACATGCCACGCTATACAACAGTGATCTTCCACAGGCACTTGAAGATGAATATGGAGGATGGCTTAATCGTGACATCATGTATGTTCCCAGTCTCTTGCACCCTAATGTTGTTGGAATTAATTAACGAAACTTCTGTAGCATGAATTAATTTCCAAACATAAAACACTAAGCACGTGGTAATATTAGTACGGTTGTTGAAATGTATCACTTTTTTGAATTAAAAACAAATAAAAGAGTAAATTAGATCGCCATAATTTTTGAAGTGTTTTTAGACAAACATGCCACCTAAGCTAAAAGTCCATTAAACCATTTTCTCCTGCATTTTTATATTTTAGACAAGGTCTGCACACAAAATTTCAATAGCTCCCACTCTGCATTCTGCAGCATTACCAAGAACTATATTCTACTTGTGCTTTTATTTTACCGTTATCATTCTCTTACTGTTTCTTCTTATGATACTAGGCCTGGCTTCCAGACTTTTGTGTTGTTTAAAAGTCTAGCTATTCTAAGGAATGCTTGTGTGTCTGTGTCTGTGTCTGTTTACTTGTAAAATATTTGTAATCTTCTAAAAGCCTTTTTGTATTTTGCAACATACACAACTAGAATATAGTGCTTAGAATACAATCTCCTAATACTAAACTGTGCAAGTTAACATAAATGGATTAATTACTTGGATGTTGGATGTAAATGCAGAAGAGACTTCACAGACTATGCGGATGTGTGTTTTAGAGAATTTGGTGACAGAGTCTTGTATTGGAGCACTATCAACGAGCCTAATGTTTTTGCCCTTGGTGGTTATGATCAGGGAACAATCCCGCCTCAACGATGTTCTCCCCCATTTTGTGTTAGAAAGGGCGCTAGGGGTAATTCAACCTATGAGGCCTACTTGGCAGTTCATCATATTTTGTTAGCACATTCTTCAGCTGCAAAATTGTACAGGAGAAAGTACAGGGTATATCACCTTTTTTTAAATGGAGAATGTTAGTCATATAATGGGTTTGTTTATTTAATTAATTATTTTTGCATTTCTACTTTCTTTATGTTTAAAAGGCAAAAGCTTCGGTTTATATACTTAAAATCCCAAACCATTTCTCTTTCTATTTATATTGGTTTTTTTTTTATCTTCTTGCTCATATGGGAAACCTTGTTGGCAAAGAATGTTCATGATTCCGAAGACTAAAAGTTGATATTGCAGGACAAACAACATGGATTTGTTGGTATCTCTCTCTATACAGTAGGGGCTTTTCCTGTAACAAATACAGAAAAAGACAAGATAGCATCTCAAAGAGTCCGTGATTTTTTTAGTGGTTGGTAAGTTGCAGACCTACTAATACTATTGGTTGGTTTTACTTCTTTCTTTCCCTTGTGATCTTTATTTGTGCTCTTTACTTAAGATAAGTGAATATACATAACTGAATTTAGTATCCATTTATGTTAAACCTTTGCTATTCTCACTTCAAGCCTAAACCTTGGTTTACTTTGTTAGCATTCTAATATATTATTATTTATCTTTGATCAGAATCCTGTGCCTATACTTCCATTTTCCATAAACTATTTAGCATTTAATACTGCAGGACCTTTCCTGTCATGTTTTGCTAATGGCTATGACACTGACACTGTGAAGAGTATGGAAGTTTTATAGGATGTGTCTGCTTTATTGTAGGATTATGGAACCCTTACTGCATGGAGACTATCCCATTTCTATGAAGACAAATGCTGGGGAAAGAATTCCAACCTTCACAAATCGTGAATCTGATCAAGTTAAGGGTTCATATGACTTTATAGGCATCATTCACTATTGCAATGTTAATGTCACAGACAATTCTGATGCACTGAATATCAAAGTGAGAGATGTCTATGCAGACATGGCTGCAACACTCGGTTAAGTACTTCATTTGCTATGTTTTAAGGATACTGAAGTTGGTCATATAAGCTTAATGCCGTGCTTGCATTCATAGCATCATTTTCATTATTATTCTGAAATTTCCAACCAGTTGAGCCTTGACTTTGTTTAGTATGACATTCTTTAATAAATTTTATAAATGAGCTCAACCAAGAGCTTCAGTATTTCTGAATAATTGGCGGAGCAAGGTGAATAACCCATGCTTTCTGGTTTTGACAGGTACACCGGGTGTGTTAACCAATGAAGAGGTAACCGTAAAAATAAATAAATGTGTTTCGTAATTAATTGGTTCAAATTTTCAGTTTAGTTCACTGCATGACTAAGTGGCTTTACATGATTCAGTACCCCATCACACCTTGGGGTTTACGGGAAGAACTGGAAAAATTCAAGCTGCTTTATGGCAATCCCCCTATATTCATTTATGAAAATGGTATCTCTCTCTCTCTCTCTCTCCTTCCTCTCCAAAGATAATGTAACATCAATAAAGAAAGTGATTTAACAAGTTTCGAAGATTACATGTAATTAAAATGAATATTTTAGAGGAAAGTGGTCTCTTGATATAAATATTAAACTGCGGCTCAGACCTCAAAGCTGTGTTGAATAGTAGACAACAAAACAACGTGATAGCATTAGACATTTAACCTTGCAACCATGCCCATCTATGCTCATAAGTTACAATTTACAACCTTTGTCCCACTTTATTTATACAGACATGTGGTGATTGATTATACTGTATTTCCCAAATTTTGGCACCTTCAGTTATATGGAATTAAAAAGTGAAGCTTCGAATGATTTATTCAGGATTTGATGAACCATTTATTGTACATGCTGTCATCAATGGTAAAACTAAGTCATGTTGATTATATAATTTAAATAATTGTGGGTTGTTAGGTCAACGGACAGCAAGAAATTCGTCACTGCAAGACGTGTCAAGGGTGAAATACTTGCATGGTTATATTGGGGCCGTGCTTGATGCCTTGAGGTATGCATTCGCTGAACTAATTCATCTAGTTCATACATACATATCACAAAAATCTTTAATCATTTCCGCAATTAGTCCTACAGTTAATGGACTAGTTTTTATATTAAGACTTGTGAATCCATCTTAGGGATTCCGAATCCATTGAACTATATTGTTTATATTATTCATCTTGAGAAGTGACTTATCTAAAGAATTAATCAAACATGCCCAGAACACAATGACACACAAAACACAAATCCTTGGAATAGAAAGATCGAGGTGGTTATCATTAGAGCCTAATTCAGCGGTTTCTCTTTCTGAAAGTGTCCACTTAAACACCTCTGATGAATTCTCTGATTTTCTATATGAAGGGATGGATCAAATATAAAGGGGTATTTTGCATGGTCTTTTATGGACTTGCTTGAGTTGCTGGATGGATACGAATCGAGCTTTGGCCTATACTATGTTGACAGGGACGATCCAGAGTTGAAGAGATACCCAAAGCTCTCAGCAAAATGGTATAGCAGGTTTTTGAAGGGTAGAAGCACCTCTATAGTTGAAACTATTGAGCTTCAGAAGGATGAATCACTTGTTTCTGTTAGACACTTATTTGAGTAGGTTTTTAAACTTATTTGTGAGACCATCAATTCAATTGCATGGTTGTGTTCCTAGGCCTACCTATGCTTTACATATATGATATGTAGACAAAGTCGTTCGAATCTTGTTGTAATTTTTCTTACTAATAAAAAAAAACTGCAAAATGTGTTTCAGTGAGTTACATGTTTTTCTTTTTTTTTTTTTTTTTTTTTGCATGTAAAATTTTATGATGGTGGAGTGTAATGGGAAAAATTATTAGATAGCGGTAGAATATATATTCTTTAACTAATCTTTATATGATATTTAATTAAATATTATTAATTATTTTTTGTAAATTAAAAAGTTAAATACATGTTAGATTAAGATTAATTTGGATAAAATACCAATGAAGATAATTTTTTTTTTACAAAATCATCAGATATCTTTCTTCCCCATCTAGTGAAAAAATATATGTTTTCATATTTTAATATTTTATTTAATCAATCAGTGATGAATATAAATGTTTTCGTTATTTTACCTTTTCCCTTTTTTCTTTCTTCTTATTTTTTTTTTCAGTTTTCTCAAAATATATTATTCATTTTAAAATAAAAGTTAGTGGCAAAAATAATAAATTTAATATTTAGAGACAAAAGTAAATAAAAAAATTACATGGAAGAAAATTTGCTCATTTTATAAAATAAAAAAAGAAAAGAAAACAGCAATTTCAGATTTTGGAGTTATAAAATATTTTTATGGAAATCATAATTAAAAGCCACTTGTTTTATAAATATATAAAGACTAAGAAAATAAAATTTGATGTTTTGATGTAACAACAATTAGGAGTCGAGATAAAGTCAAACTTTTATTTAAGGGTGTAAACAAGTTGGGTTGGGTCGAGTTTTGATAAATTTGTTACCTGACCCAATCAAAATTTAATAGGTTAGATTGGTTCGAATTTGTTTAATTTTTTTTTAAATCAATCCAATCCAACACAATCACAAACGAGTTGGGTTGGGTTAATCGAGTTAACATAATTATATTTATTTATTTTTTTATAAAAATTTAAATATTTCAAAATAGGTGTAAATCATTTGATACACAGTTACAAGTTCAATATTATCAACCTATAAAACAAAACAATGATACAAATTAAATTCTAAAATAAATTTATTAATTTGTTACATTATTATCAACTTAAAAATTCAACATTAATTAATACAAAATAAATTTTAAAATAAATATATTATGTTGTTACAATACTATTAACGTAAAACACAATTTATTACTAAATAAGAGTGACAGTGAATATTATCCTAAGTAAATGATCATTCAAACATTATTATTATTATTATTGAATTGGGTCGGGTTGGCAATGGGTTGAAAACACAAAATCCATTACCTGACTCGTACAATATCGAGTTTTAATCGGGTTGGGTTGAGTTGTATTTAACCCGAACATTGAAAAAATCCAATCTAAATTCATTAGGTTTGTTTGGGCTAGTTCGGGTTCGTGGGTTACTCGTACTTGCTTACACCCCTATTTTTATCAATATATTTAAAGTATCCACTTATCTAACTATTGGGATCGTGGTGAGAGTTGAAGCAAAGGTCTTAAATTTTATTTTTATTATTGTCATTGTAATTCGATGAATAAAAAAAATCCACTTATCTACCTATAATCTTACTAGTAATTACACTTATTATGTATATATGTTATGTGTTGGAAATCCCTCCTTAAATTAATACATTCATGCATGGGAAAGAAACAATGGATTTATCCAAGGTCTTGGAATTAATTCTTTGACTCTTGAGAAAATGCACATTCATCTTTGAAAATGTGAAAAACATTTAATACCCATTATATCTTCTTGATGGAAGCCTCACCCCTTCATTATAAATAAGGGATTTGAGAGAAGTATAAATGATCAATCCAACTAGAAAGTTGGGAATCAAGAGTGAGAGAGTTTGTAATCCAATCTTTGAGAGAGTTTAAGTGATTCTACCACACTTGGTGAGATAGATTGATCTATATCCATCCTAGAAGGGTGATGAGATTGAATGTTATCCTCTTGTATTAAGAGAGGATCATTGTAATAATCCTACTTTGATAGTGGAGGTCTTTACTAGCTAATGCCCGTGGGTTTTACTTCTCACATTGAGGAGGTTTTGCACGTTAAAATTCCTATGTGTTTGTTCTCTTCTTTTTACTTTCTCTTAAGCCTATTTTAACTCACATAGATGGAGGGAAATCTCACTTTCGCAAACTTTGGTCTGATTTCCCAATAGTTGTATCAAAGCTGGCCTGGTTCGAGGGAGCTTAAGCCTGTGTGATTTAAGATGGAAGGAGTCATTTTGCATGATAGAGATATGTTCAAGCTAACATCAAACAATTACTCATACTGGAAGCCCGTGATGAAAGGTCACTTGTACTGCAAAGAGTTACATGAGCTAATAACATGTAATGAGAAGCCGTAGGAGAAAACTAACAAAAAATGGGAACTTCTTAATTGAAAGGTTGTGGCGATGATTCAGAAGTATATTGATAAAAGTTTGTTTGAGCATGTGTCGACTTGCACAAATGCTTATGAGTTGTGGTCCAAACTTGAATCCATGATTCAAAAGAAAACTCCCAGAAATAAAGCTCATCTTGTCAGAAGATTGGTGAAACTAGATTACAAGGATGGCCAAGGTACAATGGAGCATTTGAATGCTTTCAAAGGTCTTGTAAATCAATTGACAAAGATTGAAATGAAGATAAACGATGAGTTGCAAACACTTGTACTCCTTAGTTCGTTGGTTGAGAGTTGGGACACTTTTGTGGTCACTCTCAACAACTCGATTCCCGATGGAAAACTCTCAATGGACACCATTTCAAATAGTACGTCTATTGAATGAAGAATCCATGGAAGAGGCGAAAGCAAGGAGAAAGGACGTTCTAAGTCTCGATCTAAAGTTAGCTGTTACTATTGTGGCAAGGGAGGACATATAAAGTCTGAATGTAGATTCTTGAAGAGAGATCAGAAGGTTGGGATTGTCCACGAAGATCAATTGGAGCCCAAGAAGAAAAATGATAAGTCTACTGCAATCATCACAGCAAACGGTGATGACATCTTTCTTATTGGAAAAGACAATGACCTAAATGTTGCTTATGGTGATTGTTCATGGATTATAGATTCTGGTGCATCTTTCCATGTGAGTCCACATAATTGTTACTTCTCAAATTACAAGAGAGAAGACTTTGGTATAGTTAAAATGGGGAACCATGTCACAAGCAAGATTGTTGGCATAGGAGATTTGGACTTGACAAAAGACATAGGGAGTAAGCTCGTGTTGAAGGAGGTGAGACATGTACCTAACATGCATTTAAATCTCATCAGTTGGGAAGTTAGATGATGTTGGACTTGTGAGCCACTTTGGCATAGGAAAGTGGAAGTTGGTAAAAGGAAGCATGGTGGTCACTAAAGGTTCAAAGGAAGGATCTTTGTATATCATGCAGGGAAGAACCTGTATTGGAGAAGCAAACGTGCTAGACGACTCCAAAGATCTTTGGCATAGGAAATTAGGCCACATGAGTGAGAAAGGATTACAGATCCTTGCCAAACATCATCTCACTAGCATAAATGGACAACTGCTAGAATCATGTATTGATTGTTTGTCTGGGAAGCAGTGTAGGGTGAGTTTTCATAAATCAGACAATCCCTTAAGGAGGATGGAGGCACTTGAACTTGAGCACTCAGACGTTTGTGCACCGTCTGAAAGATCCCATGGAGGTGTGTACTACTTTGTAACCTTTATTAATGACTACTTTAGAGAAGTATGGGTATATTTGTTGAAAACTAAAGATTAGGTTCTTCAAGTTTTTAAGAAATTCCATGCTTTGGTAGAGCATGAGATTGGAAAAAAGTTGAAATGCCTAAGAGTAGACAATGGTGGAGAGTATTGTGATCCATTCGAGGCCTATTATCGGACTCATGGTATCAGATTGGAAAAGACCCCACCAAAGACTATTCAGTTGAATGGAGTGGCTGAGAGGATGAATCGGACGATTGAAGAAAAAGTCAGATGTATACTAAATAATGTGAACCTCCCCAAGTTAGTTTGGGGTGAAGTTGTGAAGACCATAATAATGTTGATAAATCTCTCACCATCATGACCTTTGAAGGGAAAGATCCCAGAGGAAGTATGGTATAGGAAGAAAATGTCCTACAACCACCTGAAGGCTTTTGGCTGTAAAGCGTCCATGTACCTAAAGACGAAATGAATGAAGCTTGATGCTAAGACCAAGGAGTGCATATACCTTGGATCCCCAAATGATGAATTTGGGTATAGACTATGGGATCCTGTAAACAAGAAGATTGTTAGAAGCAAAGATGTGTTGTTCTTTGAAGACCATACTATTAAGGACTTTCAGCAGAAAAGACAGGCGAAGTCCAAGGTGAGCAGTGATGATGTGATAACTCATCCAATAACCAATAGTTCAAAAGGAGAAAACTCGTAAAGATAAACTTGATCAGATAAATCCCGAGCAAATGCAACCTTAGGTGGTAGATGATCAGATGATGCTAGATGCTTAGATAAATCTAGAACCCAAATAATGGAAGAAGATCATATACAGCCTGAGCCAAGACGGTCAACAAAAGTAAAAATACCCTCCACCAAGTACCCACCAAACCAATTTGTTACACTCATAAGTGAAGGTGAACCTCAATGTTTTTCAAAAGCTATGGAGACAAAGGATAAATAAGAGTGGATCAAAGCCATGAATGAGGAGGTGGCCTCTTTGCATGAGAATCAGACATACGATTTGGTAGAGTTGCCAGAGGGAAGACGACCTCTAAAAAACAAGTGGGTGTACAAGTTGAAATTTGAAGAAGGGAGTTCTAAGCCTCGATATAAAGCCCGAATTATGGTGAAGGGCTATAACTAGAAAAGGAATAGACTTTGGAGAGATTTTTTCATTAGTGGTGAAGATGCCCTTTATAAAGGTAGTCCTAGGTCTGGAAGCTTGTCTAGACTTAGAGATAGAGCAGCTTGACGTGAAGACTGCATTCTTGCGTGGAGACATAGAAGAGGAGATCTATATAGAGCAACCATAAGGGTTTGAAAAACCAAGCCAAGAACATCTCGTGTGTCAATTGAAGAAAAGTTTTTATGATCTAAAGTAGGCCCCTAGACAATGGTATAAGAAATTCGAATCCTTTATGAATAAGCATAGTT